TTTTTTTTCTGAAACCGATTCAGGGGGGGGGGGCGGTTTAGAGCTCCTCCACCCCCTGAACTGGCCAGACCCCCGATACACCCACTATAGGGGCACATCAGAGAGGTACCAGAACAATACGTATCAGCTGATATGGGCCAATACGTATCAATACTTTAAACCTTGATCGTTGGCCCAACCACCATAAAACATACTAACATAGGGCTGTTGCTGACTTGCTGCTAACAATTACCATGGCGTCGAGCTTTGGACCCTAAACTGCTGTGCCACCGTTGCTATCTGTGATGTCACAACAATAAGCCTACAGATATCCAGTTGAGCTGTAATCATTCCACACGATGGCGCCACCACTGCTATTTGCCATAGTGTTGCCACAATAAGCCCACAAATTTCTAGCTAGCTACCTGCTACCATTTATTGAAACAAAGAATGAAGCTAAGAAGGAAGCTGGGGATTTTTTCCCAAAACTCATTGATCTGTTTCCTCGAATCTAAAATTCGGATTCTATCTGTGTCTGTTGTGATTGAATAGTTAATTAATTTTATCCATAAAATTTTCAATCTTCTGTTTCGGCAATCTATGTGATTATTTCTAAAAGAAATGTCATTTCTTGGTTAAACCAATTTAAGTCTGATAAAATCCGATACTCAAAAAATAAAAAACCCAAAGGGAATCGAATGCAAATCTACAGTGGATCGAGTTCAGGTGTTGTTAATAATTGATCAGATCAAACTCAGATTTAGGTGCATCCAATCCCATTGCAGGCCTAGTCTTTTAAGCTCATGCTAAGTCTTTCAAGTATTTTCAGCCGATACCGGCTGATATAATGTTATCGTGTTAGAGATACGGGTGTCTGATTATCTCTATCCACAGTATCGCCAGACAAAAGCACAGCACCGGCTGATATGTTTGATTTTTTTTTTTTTTGGTTACATTTGTGTAGGTTATTTCAAATTCAAATTCATGGAAATATCTCCTAATTATCAAATGAATCCATCTTAATGAGCAGTTCAACGTAACAAGCAGAATCCGACATGAATTTAGTCTTCACAAGTATTAGAATCATGATTTGTAAACATAATATAATTGACGATTAACTCGCTAAAACACCAAGAATAAACCAATAGGGTGCAAGAGCAGCATAAAAAGGGAAACGACGGCCATACGTACAAATACATAAAATGAAATATAGAATTAACGAAGCTAGAACATGTCCTCAAATATGGGACTTGGCCGAAACAGAAAATTGTGCTTTAACAAGGCAAATAATAAAATCCCATGAGTTAAAAAGAAATTTCCTAACCTCACCTGAACACCAAAGGCTCTCCACACGGCAATATTTGTACAGTCACGTTGACATATTCACTACCTCCTTTTCTTCTTTACTTTTTACACCCTTAAAAACTTGTACAGTCAATTTATCTCCTCCGCAGGGGCATCAGGTGTTTCATCTGATGTCACAGCTTGGCCTGATCCTAGGTATATATCAAACTACACAATGTACAATATTTTTTGTTTTTCTTGACTACAAGCAACAATTTATTTCCAATCGACTCATACCTGTCCAATGGATAAGAGCGATGGCTAGACAAGAAGAGAGTGAGGGAGAGCATCTCCAGCCTCAAGTTAGCTGTACAACTTCTTTCTTTCCGATGCCATCTAAGCGGGGTGTGGAGTCTGAATATTGATTCTCCTCTCTGCATGTAACAGATTCTTATTAGATATCCATTGCGGTATGCAAGAACCATTTAATGCTACGACATAATTACATGCAATGATAACTGTCCCATGCCATCTTAATTATCATTGCGGGAAAAAAGAATGATGTCACCACCACAAGGTTCAAAATATCATCACGTATCGGCTGATATGTATCATATCGGAGCCTTCCCAATACGCCCCTACAGGGGGTGTTTCGGGTCGGCAAGTGGTTCAGGGGGTAGACTGGCCTTAGACTGGCCCCTCTAAACCAGATTCTAAAAAAACCAAAAAAACAGTACCAATACGCCCTACTGGTGTATCGCCCTGAATCGATATTTTGAACCTTGCACCACCATTTTCTTCATGTTAAAAGAAAAGAACAAGGAAATGCAACCTGGGTTGAGACCTTGTTAAATTTTAAGGGGAATGGCCCATGGACTCAGACCTGATGCAGTAGAAAAATTTTAAATCAGGTACCTGTTTTGCAATTCTAAGCATCATCCTTTGTTTTCAAGGTAGTGCTGGCACCACCTCTATAGCCATTCAACATCATATATCCAGACATTAGAAGGTGCATAGGCTGATTGATCAGGACTTCTCAATCAACAACTCACATACAGGCTACCCATTAGAGCATGTATAAGATAAACCTGTATGATAACCTATCGTTCCACTGTCATATGTTTTATCTAATGTTCAAAACAAAGTGATTGTCCACGGATCATTAAGCTCCTATAATAGTTGGCGTACAAGAACAAGGAAGATGACATTCATCTAACAATCAAGAACAGCTAAGAAATGAACCAAATACTGGTAGAGATGGCATGAAGCATCAAAACTGTGCTAGCATCACCAAGGAGAGAACCCCACAAACCACGGAACAGGACAAATCACAATCAATCCACCAAAACAAAATTTAGAGGTTCTCTTGCTCAGTAGTGGAAACAAGTGTTAAAGAGAATAAAAACCTATTCATGGAGACTCACCTAAAAGCCTAGCTGAGATCCATGAATAGATTTTTTTCTCTAATAATGAGGAAGACAAAAATAGGAAAAGAAAAGGAAACAAGAGAAGAAATAGTACCCCCAGCAGCAACAAGCTTTTCTACACGGGCAACTATATGCTTCCCATAAGTGTACTTCTTCAGAGCATTCAAGTGAACCTTTATTCGTGAAAGTATTAGCTCACGTTGCTGGTCATCACAAGTCTCCAACACTTTCTGTACAACATAGTTTGCAAACTGATCCTTCATCATTGCCTGAGACGTCAAGCAGAAAAAAGTGGAGATTAGGTTTTGTAACCACATCCACCAAAGTAAAGAATCAGCAGCATAGTTTCTTCTCGGAAATATGGAAAGTTTAATAGCAATGTAGAATGACTTGAATTATATGACTAGATTAATGCCAAAGCTGCTGAATTTTTCCTAATGACACTCATTCAACTTAAAGAAGCTAAATGATCATTAGATGCAACACACCAAGGTCATGGAGTTGTAGCCAAAATCTCCATGAAAAAGAACAGAATATTTGGATAATGTGACCCACCAGCTACAGAAGTTAGACATCCCAAAATATAATCAACCACCCACTTAACCTAATAAGTATGATTTACTCCAAATTTTAACAATAAAATGCAAGATTAAGGAACTTGAAATTTTGCTGCAAACATATTCATCAAAAAACAAAAAAAAAAAAATGCCTGATGTCAGCCAGTTTCCACAGTCAGTGTTTCTGCAGGGCTAACCAAAAGTATAGAACTGTAAGCATCATTGATGTTCCTGAACCAGCTCTAGTGAGCTATTATATTTTGTTCCCTTTTATGTGTGTATGTGTTGCTATCATATTCAATAACTAAGACAAACCACAAAGAATTGTAACCACACTTTCCTCGGGTGTGTATAGCCTCTATATTTTTTGGAGAATTTATTATTTTCACATCTGCCAAAAGTTGGTTATCATATTTCTATGTCAAATATTCAGTCATTCAAAAAGGTGTCTTTTTCATGCTAATAGATGCAACTCCCAGTTTGATATTAATGTCGTGAATAAACCAGGAAGATAAAACATCATTGACTGCATACGTGCAGTATGATTATGTAATATAATATAGAAAAAGCAATTCACCAAGGCAACAAAATTTGAAGGCATGATACAATTATACTTTATCTTCTTAGGAAAAGAAAAAAAAACATAATTTTAATAGCAAAAATTAAAAGGTATTGTGCTTTTCATGAAATCATAAATCACTTTCACTTAGCCTGGTAAAACAATAAGCTCATGCTTGATGCTCTCATTCTCATAAGATGCTTTTAAGCAATGTAATAAGTTCCATAATCCATATACAGTCAGTACTGATAAAAGGTCCATATTGGGTCAAAGAAAATCGAATTTTTCACTTTAGTTTCAAAAAAAGATAACAAGAAGCAATTGATGATGACATAATCTCTCCAAGTCCAAGCAATCATCAACCACATGGAACAAACAGGCCAAAAGTGTTACCTAAATGGATGAAGAATGACAAGTATATGACCATTGGCAAGAACAAAATTAGTCCTAGTATGTTTTATTTGATCCAACCATAAAACTAGAGAGAGTTGACAGACCTGCAAAGGTTCATTCTCGTCAGTTGTACCAAGCATCTCATTTACTAAAATCTGGCGTTCTGTAGGACCACCAAACGTCAAGCACTTCTCCACAACATTGGAGGCAAATTTCTGCTGGCTCATTTGAACAATTTGTCCAGCTAATTTCTTGATTATAGCAGAACGCTCATGGGGTTTTCCATGCTCCAATACATGCTGTTAAACATGTGTGGCAAATCAAAACAGGGAAATGAACATAAAAGATAAGCATACATTGCAGGATACTGTAGGTGGTAGTTTGAACTATTGACAGCTTATAGGTTTGTATTTATCAAAAAAAAAAAAAAGACACCTTATAGGTTCTGAGAGCAGGAAAACTTTTAAACTCCAAAATAGGGATTTGAAAAGGCAATCAAACAGATCTGAGCAAACCAACAAAAGGTTGGAGTAAGCTTATCAATTATCATAATAACAGTCTTTAAAAACGGATGGACTCATGCAGGAGACCCCTTCATTTCAGCAGTAACGTAAAATCCATAATTTAAACTCATCCAAATTTAGCAACAGATTTCAGTTATAAAATATTGAAGATCCCAGAGGGATGGACACGTGCAGGAGGCACCCTCATTTCAGCAGTAGATCAAAGCCATCACTTCATGACTTCTACCATCTGCTTCAAGAAAGATCCAAATGCACTGTAAATAGTATGTTATTTTACCAAGGTGTTACTCACAAAAGCAAGAGTTGCATGATGCAACTTACAAGCTCATATTGCTTGAGAGGTTCTGGGTTGATCTCTTGTTATCCAAGAAAGAAAAGGGAAAAAGGTACTTGTCATCTTTCTTTTATTTGTCGATTTTTAATAAAATCCTTTCCAAAATGTATCAAAATGGTAAAGCCTCAATTAAATAGTAAGTGTAAAACAATGTCTATTGTACTTGTTTCTGTCCTCCAGAAATTTGGCTTACATAGCCCTCATCCACCAAACTTTATGATGGAACAAGGCAATAGAAGGCAACAAATGGAATAACCAAAAAAAAAAGTCCAGGATTATAGGCATGAAAACCCCAGAAATAAATAACTTCATGGTGAAGAAAATACCATGGAAAACCATAACAGCACAGAAAACCATAATCTCCATATCCAGACATATCAACAAGTTAATTGTTCTGGAATACAACAGAAAACATGAAAATGGGACCATGTGCAATCACTAAAAACTACATAAGAATACAAAAACAGGCAGTAGATATAAAAACTCTATGAAGACAGCACACCTGAACAACATAATTCCCATATTGGTCTTGTGCCAACATACAAACAGATTGTAAAATCTCATCCATCATGATACGCTGGGTTGTTGGGTCATCACAGTGTTCCAGTACTCTCTGGTAATAAGAAAGGCATAGCATATTAGCCTCTAAAATTGTTATTTACTGAAACCCTTGGAATAACAAGATATGAAACATGTAGTTAATTAAATTGGTAAAATAATTCAAACCTGTATGACACGACAGCCATATGGATGAGTGGACAGTGTCACAACTTGGTCATAGAATGATGAGACAATAAACTGAATAGCATCTTGAGGTATGCATTCAATGCATTTCTGTATAACATGGTTTCCATTCTGGTCCCGGACACAACGCATGACATGACCATCAAGCTCTGCAACCATCTTAGTCTGTTGGTCCAAATCAACAACTTCTATTGCCTGAAACAAAGATTTTAAACAAAATTCAACCACCAAGTCAAGTCATGGCAATGTCAGTGCAATTTTAAATTGATTATGTTTCTTGTGGAATAGAAAATGGCTTGAGTAACAATGTGAAAAAGACCCCTTGGACACTAGAAACCAGAAAATGCAACCTTTTACGATATCTACTTATGTGAATTTAGGTAGGTACTTTTACACAAATATGGATGAATATCAAGACCGTTAATATATTGAACATTAATACATAGCAGAAATAAAGAAAACGAAATCACCAAACCTTATGCTAAGAGAGGGAACATGCTAGAACCACATTCCCTTACACCTGCCGTTCACCTCTAATGGAACAAAGAACACAAACATGTAATGAGTGCAATTACACACATGATAGTATGACACAATGGCAGTGCCTGTTAACCTGACCAGTTGATGCAAGGCATGTTTAAGTCTATTCCAGAAGTTCAAATGCTCCACTAGGGTTTCTCTACTAAAACAATCAGAATGTAACATATGCCTTTGCAGAGCTATTTTGGTCAACATACAAGGATTACTTGATTAAAAACACATTTCCTCAATCCCGACATAAGCTTAAAATAGGCTAAAATAGAGACAGAAAACCTCCAATAAGAAAAATCGAAGTCATTTATCAATACCTCTCAACAGGCACAAATATAATAGATATGCATGTGCTATATATACAACCAACAGGCTAATACTAGTTGTTGCCATAGACCACAACCCAACCCAACTGATTATTTTCAACCTGTCATTGGCCTGGAAGGTCAGACCAGAGACCCAGTCACAATTCCAGTTTGGGCTAAGCTCTAACCTGCTATATTTTATTTAAAAAAAATAAATATCATTGACCCAATCAATTACCTCTGGACCTGGACAACTGAACCTTTGACCTGTATGACTTTTTCAACGGGATTCTGGTCCTTTTTTTATATTTTTTATAGTGATGGCATCATGGGTTGAACGTTCAATCATGGTTTTAAAGCACTGACCCAATCTGAGCATGAAAATACCAGATTAACATTTAGGTCAAGTTTATAAGCAGGATTCAACTTTCCCAAAGTCACAAATCTGCCAATCTATTACTTTGCAGTGTCTAAAATGTCTGCTTGGGGGGCGAAAAATACTAGAAAAGATCATGAGGGATTTCTCATGGAACCTAGGGATACTAAGAAGAACCATCTGGGGAGTGGAGAGTGCATTGCAATAGTAGGGATGATGGGAGATTAGGATTGGAGATGTTAAGGGAAATAAATCAGTGTTGAGGAAATGACTTTGGGGATTTCCCTTGGAGCAAGACAAACTGTGGCATAACATGGTTAGAAGCATTCATGGGATGCTGGACTATCTGCGACTGTAAGAGCAACACTGTGTTCACCCTGGAAAGCAATCCATGGTCTACTTGTCTTGTTTTCTCATACATGTTATGGTGCCCTCTCAAGTGTGGGCTTGTCTTGTGAAAGGTCGTTGTTCTAACTTCTAATGTTTGTCTTTTCTCATATCAAAACCTATTTCCTCTTTTGTGGTTTCACAATTCCAGGTCTAAAGAGCTGTGTTTCATTAGAGGCATAAGAGACTCTGCATGAACTGATGCCATTAACTTTACCACTGTTGGGCTTGTCTTACACCACCAGTCCAAGCCCGGATAAAGGAGGGTTGTGTCAGATTGGCAGCTGGCACAAAAACTTTTATCAAACTCTCAAGGTCATGGATCCTGATTCATCTTTTCTTGGGCACTGAACAGAATGGAAAGGTAAAACAGGATTCATGTAACCAACCTCATAGTTGAGACAAAGCTTTGATGATGATGATGATGATGATGAATTACCCAATGTCATTAATCTCTTAGGGTCTCTGCAATGTGTTTATTTGGATGCTTCTCTGCCAAATTGCAGAATCTAGACAGCTAACCCTGAGGTGCCTTTATGTGTTCCTTCCTTCTTCAGGATTTTAACTCTTTCCTCTCCCACCCTCAACCGTTTCTAGCTAAAGAAATATGGAATAACCACCGATGAAAAAAATAAGAAATATGGAATAGATTGGTTCCACCAAAGGTAAGAAGGGTGTTTCACAAGAAAATCAATACTTGTGATGTTCCACAGAAAAGGAAACCCAACAGGTGTCAATCTCCTCATTGGTGTGCTCTATGTAATGCAAGTGAGAAAGTCTTGATATCATTTACTAATTTCTTGCTCCTTTGGTTCTAATATTTGGAGAAGGTGTCGTTTTGGTTGTAGGTGGGCGGCTCCAACAGATATGAGAACCTCGTTCAGCTCGGCTGTTATAGAAGGGCAGCTGTAATATAGGTAATTTGGGAAGAACAAAATGTGAGAATCTTCAAGGAGAAGACATGGGATATGAAACAACTTATTGAAAGTACTACAAATAGAAGTAGTACACCAGGCAAAGACTTTGCCCAATGTTTTAAAAATGCAAGGAACTTTTTGTGCCCAAGGTGCACGATATGTGCCTTTTGGAAGTAAAGATCAAAAAGATATTTTTTAAAAGACAAGGAACTATAACTAAATTATAGTTATAGGAGGAATGCACCACCATGCTTAAAAAAAGAAAAAGAAAAAGAAACACACACACACACACACAAGGCATAGTTTTTTTATCAGTAATAAATATTTTAACTAGTATACATATATACAAAAAATGTACACTTACAAAGGCACTTTCTTGGGCTGAGGCACAAGGCACACCATGCACACACCTTTTCTAAAGGGGCTACATATGGACCTAGGCAAGATACTTTGAAATTGCCTCACCTAGGCTCCTAGGCATGCCTTCCAAATCACTAACGTTGACTTCATTCTTTGTGGTGAGCCATGGATTAAGGTTTTTTCTTCTTCTCTCAAGTGTTCTGGTCACCTTTCATGTATTCTCTTTTTTCTTTTTTTAATAAATTTTATTTTTTACTACCAAAAAAAGACTTCGACTTTGTTTGCCCTCTTCTCCATGGATGAAATCTAGATGGCATTACTTATCAAAAAAAATGTAGAGAATGGTATTGGATAGCTTCCTCATTGACATCACGGTAACTGCCACAGTCAAAATGGTCTCGACCTAGACCTAATTACATAAAAGTAAAATTTGATGGGTATTGTTTAGAAAATCTAGGGATGACAGGTATTAAAGGGGTGCTAAGAGATCACGAAGGGTCTATCTTAGTGTTACACTTAGGCCTGCAGGGACAAGGAAACTCCTTGAAAGCAGAATTATTGGCTGCACTAGAAGGGTTAAGAATCAATGTTTCAAAAAGCGTATTGTAAATGAGAATATGCAAGCAACTTAAGGTAGAGGTGTGCGGGATGATAAAAAATAGTAAAGGACCATGGAAGTATATAAACTATATGGGGGAGATTAGACAGCTGGCAAAGAACTAATTTCTCCTGGGTCTAAATGTCAGCCAATGGGATAGCTGATGCTTTGGAAAAGCAGGGTGTAAATAGGGATAGACTGCATTGGGCTCAGTTGTAATTATTAATTGATTAAGCATGGGGTGATCTGTCACCCAATATCAGGCTACCAAATTTCTGTGCGTGCCCCTTAGGGCCCTTATCTTTCAAATATTAATTAATAATAAAGTCATTGTTACTCATCAAAATAAAAAATTGCCAAAGTTGCACTGCCTTATTCAAGTCCACGACTCCAGCTAAAATAACATTTCAAAGACCATAAAAATACAAGGTTATAAGTAGGAATTGGATTGAACATGGCCATAGTTCCATCAACTTGTTCAGGTCCATAACTCCAACTTAAAATAAATGGTTCCAAGACCAAAGAATATAGAGGTGAAGAAAGAGTTGCACTGCAGAGTGGGGAGGAAGCTGTGTGGCAGTACAGAAACAAGCTACTGACTTGAGGAGGTGGAAGTGACATTTTAATGGGTTCAAAGAACAGCTAACAATATGGCTGATGAATGCAAGAGGTAGAGAGGGAGCAAATCTTTTGAGCACAATTGTATGGAAAGATGTATGGAGAGAGAAAAGTTTTTCTCTCCAACTGATGCTTGTAATATGTACTTGTTAATTTGCTAATAAAACGTTCAGTTATTGATCAAAATAGAATATAACAAACAGATGATACATGAATAATAAAGAATATATCATTAAAATATAGAATGTTTTATAAAATACAGTAGTTTAAAAATGAGAAAGTAGGTTCATGAAAACAAGTTACCTTCTGGATCACCCGACAGCCATACATTTGAAGGCTAAGTGTCAAAACATGCCCAGTCAACTGGTTCGCTAGTTCTCTTCTCTGAGATGCAGTTCCATGCTCAAAAAACTGAAGACAACCTCAATTTATTAGCCATGTGTATGCCACTAACCTAATATAATATCCCCATTAAGAAAGCAAGAGTAAATTGTAAATTATGGCAAATTAAATGATAGCATACCTTCTGAATCACATAATTACCAAACACATCCGTCATCAATGAAAGAGCTTGAGGAATGATTTCCTGAAAAACCATATTTTTCTCCTCTATTGTGGCCGTTTCAAGTTTCTGTTGAATGAACCGGCTTCCATACTGATCAGCACTGCTCATAAAAGGATATCAAATAACACAATTCAATTCCCAGATTCCTGGATTAAACTGCCCTGAGAGAAAGAGAAATAAATACCTGAATTCAACAACATGACCTGCAATTTCTGAAAGTTCAAAACATTTGGTTTTGTTGCTCTTAAATTCTTCCAGTAGGGAGGATGCAAAGCTTTCATCCATGTTGCCACCAGCTTCAGAATGCCAGGATCCCATGACACCCCCCGTCAAGTTTCTCATACCAGGAGGAAAGCGTAAACTTCGCTCATTGTGCCTAATAGGACTACCAGGTCCAACTGGAGAATTTGGGAGAAGGGGACTTGCAAGTGGACTTCCAGGATATGACATACCAAGACCAAATGCAGGGTTTCCATAGTAACCGGGACTTAGACCACCAGATTTACCAAGGAAAGGGACACCATACTGTGATTTCTGAGGTGAAAGTAATGCCCCTAGATAAGCTTTCTGGAGTCCTAGCAAATCAACATAAGAATTCCCCATATAGTTCCTGTCTAAAGAAGGGTCGTTGAGAGCTGCAACCTGTGCTGCAGCATATTCAGCTGTTTTCAAATACTGAAGATACAAAGGATCCAAGACGGGCATCTGAAGAGCACTCCCTGCTGTGTGATTCCCTATTCTATTTAGATTCTGCAACTCTGCTGCCCCAGTTAAATTTCCACCTGAAGGCAAACCTCCTAATGCTCTAGCATCCAAGCCAGAGGCTGCCATAGCGGATGCTGCAGCAACATTCTCAAACAAAGGAGGCAAGTTACCAGTTCCAAGTTGGTTTGCCATCAAAGACGGCAATGCTGGATTGATGGAATACCCATTCTGATAGTGAGGAGAACCTCCTCCCCCAGGAAGTGTAGGTGTAGAGGGTCCTTTTAAGTACGAGTTAGCAGATGACACAGCAGGTTTTTGCAGTTCAACTTGCCCATCTATCAAGGAAGAGGTGTTCAATTCCATCCCAGTTCCGTTGCTTTTACCCAAATTGGAGTATGTTCCTTTTGCTGACTGAGCACCAGAAGGCATATGTAAGTGCCCAGAATCAGATCTCTTTATGTAAGGATGTTGCTTAATATGGTTCTGTCCACCTTGCAGATTAAAGAGGAAATTCTGGTGATCATCAATTTCCTGTTGAATCTGTGACCTCATATTTTTTTCTTCATTCACTCTGCCATTTGTTGACAGGCTCATGCCAGATAAAGCAGCTACCAGATCAGCAGACTCACTCATACTAGACGAGACAACACTATTGTATGTGTTTGAGCCATTAACATTTCTCTTATCTGTTGCACCAACTCTCCCTCCCCCAACAGGTGGAAGGCAAGGACTAGGAGCCCTAGCAACAAGTTGAGGATCAGGAGTTGTGCTACGCGACAAGGAGGCACCTAATGCAGATGCAAAAGTGTGAGAAACTGATGCACCAACATTTTGAGCCCCAGTAATGCCTTGTACATTTGGACCAGACCGTAAAGCATCAACAGATGCCAATTCATGATGCAAATGAGCTAGCTGGGCTTCAGCAGACCCTAAACTCTCTACTCCATCGTCAAAGGCATTGCGACTAGCTGGACGAGAAGGGAGACCAGAGACAGGTGTTGCACGACCCAAATCATCCTACATTTAAAGAAAGAAGTTAATCCATCAGAAGAATCATAAACAATTATCTGACAAAGGAAAAGAAAGTGTTCCTTTTCTTTTCAGGCTCCACAACCGATAATTGATCAGTTGTCGATGGGAAAAGTTGCTGTCAATACCCAGGTCTACACTATGAATCCGAATGAATTCCCAATTAGAAAATTAGCATCTTCAGAGAGTATAGTGTGCATCAATGCGACAAAATGACAGTCACACGATATCTATAAAAGATAAACTACAGCTAAGAAAAAAGGCAACAGAGACAAACACATATATTGAATATTAAAAAAAATAGTAAGATGTACAGAACACTCATCTTTAGAAGGGGGATGATAAAATATACAAGAAAGCTGATCAAAAAAAAAATATATATATATATATATATACAAGAAAGCCTTCCTAACTTCATATGTGATAATAAAATATACAAAAATAGAATGGTAAATGATTTGTATTATAAAACATTAGTAGTCAAAAGTTGTAGATGATGGGAGAAAATCCAATGAATTCCCCACTAATGTTAATACATATTAATATGGTCAAACACTAAGTACCATAATCTATTCCTTCTCTTATTTAGCTTGCCAGTATTAATATATCTGACTTATATGCCAGTTTTGTTTATAGTCAACTTGTATGTCATGTTATACGTTAACTACTTGGTTAGTTGTTGAAAATCATTTTCATGCCATACAATTATCAAAAAGAAATCATTTCCATCCATATTTTTTTATTTGTACAACAGCTTCTCAACGAAGATATTCAGAGCATGGCAGCTTTCCAGGTTCTCTAGCCTGATACCTTGTACATCCACATCCCAAAAATAAAACAAAATAAAATAAAACCTTCACTATGGCCATAGATACAGTAATTCTGGATAAAGTGGAAAGACGGCATGGGTTTCATGTAAACAATACCAAATTGGAAGGATAAGCCTTTGTTGAGTTGAATAACAAAATCTCCATCATACTTTACCTTTATATGGATCATAACCTGTTCCTTTAGGAAAATGACATCAGTGCTAATAAATTTTTCTATGGTGTGTATGTGTGCATCTTGAGGAGGAGGAGGGGATATTTAAACCCACCCATAGCAGCCTCAAATCAAAAAAGCTGCAATCAAGGTTCAAATATGATACCACCCGTATTGGGCATATTATATCATATCTTTTGATGCACAATACACCAAATATAAACACTTTTGATATTTTAACTTTAAAACATTAAAACTCATGATCATGATGTGACAGGTCTACTTTCACTTTGTCATATAAAAATAAAAATAAATAAATAAATAACAGAAATTTTGATTAGCTGAACTCTTGATATGGAAAATTAGCGTACTGAGACTATCAATACTTAAAAACTAGGCTGCAATCCCTTTTCAGCTGAAGGTATACCCCACTTGCAGATTCTAAGGAGGGCTTTTATATAGAGAGGATTATTTTCAGAACATTTTAGGTATTACACCTGTCATTTCCAACACATATCCTGAACCTTGATGTTCTTGCTCATCCCAGACTTTTCTTGCAGTCACAAATAGGGTCAAATTTACTTCTGGTGAGCAAAAAAAACAGTAAGATTACAAACCAACATCCAAATGGAATTCCGGATGAGGTAATCACAATGATAACCACTGTTAAATCAACACAATAAAACAAGATGGCAACTGTAGCTTCAGAATCAACTAGCCTAGGATCCTAGCCTCCCAACAGCTGATCTCTTGTCATGTCATCAGCCACAGTGGGCCTAGAAAACCATATGAATAAGCTGTTCAAAGCAGATGCCAGGGGTCTTTCTTATGTACTGCCTTAGTATTCAAAGGCCACCTGAGAATGCCAAGATTAACCCACTCCGTACTACCACCTCTCAGTAACCTTCAACCAATAGACCTCTTATCTTAAGTCAGGGAAGCTAACAATTTTTAAACCTTGTAGCAACAAGTATATTGGCCCTTAACAAATCCCATATCACATTCCTAACCACAAAGGCTTTACAAAACACCAATAGGACTCTTAGCTTCTCCTCCATCTGGCATACAAGGCCTAAAATCATGACAATACATCAAAAAAGGGAGGTTGAAATACAAATCAAGCTTTTCACTGTCATTCCAGCAGATTAACTTGCATCTTGATGGAAAAGGGGGTTAGGTGTTTAACATAAATAACATTGTGCTGCTCCATCTATACCATATATTTAAATTCAGAATGGACTAGGGATGTTAAAACATGAACTCAGAGTCAACTACTAGGGACAAGAATAAAATCAAGTTAACTTCGATGGGCACTAGAACCTATTAGAGTGTCATTTTCTGAGAATAGTCCACCACACTATCTAGATTGTTATAGTATCTCCTCTTTTCAAGCATCCTTCTTCCTCTCATTTTTTGTTATTGAGAAGCTTTGAGTTATATATTTTCAGTATCAAGTTAATTTAAAAGAGAAAATGTAACTTATTGAAGCTATGGTAACCCCAGTAAAGGTCAGCGCCCTTGTCTTGGGACTTTACTGCATATGCTTTCCTACATGAAAGCATATTTATCGCCCCTTTTCAAATTGAGGAAAGAAATATAAGTGACTTCTAGATTAAGTTCAAGTATCACAAGGTAATAGGAGCTGCAGAAGTAGATGATAAAGGTTCCTTGAAGGTCCATAGTTAGGTCAAAATAAAATTTAAAAAAAAACAATGGCTAACAGAATATGAATTCAGATTCAACAAGAAGTTGAATGAAAGCTAGTGGGCAACCAGTAATATTGATAGGTTCATAAAAGTAACCTGATAAAGAAAAGTACCAAAAGCAGAGGCGTCAGACATAAAAGGATTAAGGGACGTCTATATTTATAACAAGCATACAGACAACAGATACATTATTATTTGCAGAAGGTGAGCTGATGTAACAAGAAATAAGATCATTACATTTTGGTCCTTTCTAGCGTTTTAAGGTATAACTTTAACATCAAAAACTGAATTATTATTGAAATGTAAGAAATAGAAACAAAGATCATTTCTTGAAATCATGAAACGATTCTAATATGACCTATTTAACTCCACCTGTGTGAGCTTGTCTTACACAGCCAATCCCAAGACCAGATAAAGGAGAAGCAAAGGAGGGTTGTGTCAGGTTCGTATCTGACATTAAACTCTTGCCACTCTTACAAACATGGATACTTATATGACTTCATTTCTATTTTTATCAGAATATTTACAACTATTCCACCTTAGACAATGAAAAGGTGTTCATATATGCTAAGGGATAAAACTAAAATCAACGGAATTTCGTTGAATGTAGTTTGTAAATGTCACTTAATTACCCTTATCAGTTCCAATAATTTTGATTGTATATAGTTACGGAAATTACATGTTACAGGATCGTCAATATCGAGAAACAGGATGTAAACATAAAATGAAGTTTAAACAGCCCCTAACAGGAAATATAGCCTACCAAAAGACTGAGAACGCTAAACATCAATAGATGATTCTCCTCCCCTGAGACTGAGAGAGAGAGATTTGAACACCTCAATGACTAAAAGAGAAATATTTTTACCACCAAGGTGTTTCCCTTCAAGCCCAAAAAACAAAAAGGAAATAATAAGAAAAAAACTCTGCCTTAAAAAGATAATGGATTAAAGGGAAAATAGAGCTTTTAACGGAAATCACCTGAAAAATATCTGCAAGGCTCTTCTGCCTGCTCCCTAGTCCTAATCCTGACAATCCGATCAGTCCATCCCCACCCCACTCTGCTGAAGCCTGCGGTTTCCTCGACTCGAACTCGTTCTCTTCCTTCTGCGAGTTAAACCCCGGCTGCAGAGAAAACAGCGATCGGCTGCCCTCATCATTAGCACGATTGACCTTTCTTCTATCTCCAATCCCTCCTAGCGCTGAACTCCCACTCTGAAACCGCTGTGCAAACCTCCAGTCTTCCTTGGAGAGTAACGGCGGTGGAAGCCGAGGGTTGAGATTGACGTTAGAGTAATAGTAAGAAAGGTAGGCTGGATCAGAGCGGAGCTCCTCCTCTGACAGAAGTCCATTGCCGCTCTTACCCCCGGCGAAGTCCGAAAGAGAGGCGTTGCTTCCATTGCCAAACAGACCTCCAACCGCAGTTAAGGAACCTTCAACGGTTGGGGGAGCAGAACCACTCCTGTAGAGGTTAAGCTCCCTCTCCCGATCGTTTGCATCCTGGCGCCGCTGCTCCAGAAGTAACATCCCTAGCTCCTTCCCTAAATCCTCTCCATACGATCCATCGTTGCTCCCGACTATAGGCCGCATTCCCATATCCGACAACATCTTCATCGAAACCCAGTAAGCATGTCACGAGCAAAAAAAAAGGCCAATCAAGAACCCTAAACAGGGGGAAAACAACCTCGGCTTGAACTGTTAGTCACTAAAAATAACGTTTCCACAATTGAAATGCCCACTTTAAATTGAAAAAATCCGATTTTTAGCCATTAAAGCTGCTAGCAAGCTCATTTCTCGATCCAAAACCTACAATCTAAAGTTGATGACCCGATAAATCGACGATATAAACACAAAGAAGGTACAAAATGATAAATATTTCATTACTGTATACAAATTCACTCAGATAACTGCATATGGGATAGAAAAGAAAATTCTTTTGTGATTCGTACGTCTATATCGACGATCGGCGATGATTTTCGCCATTTTTGCTCTTAAACATCGCAACTTGGAAGTAAGAAATACAGATAAAAAATCACCAAAAACTACTACAACAGCAGCTGCTGCTGCAACAAATAAACAGTAGGATAAACGAAGGCGAGAAAAAGAAAACAATGTGCTGATAGTCGGCTGATAAGCACAAGCCGTTGTGAGATTTGGACCGTTGGATTCGGGGGCTGACGGCAGAGATGGATCTGTAGAGCGATTTGTTCTTGCCGGAACCCTTTAGGGTTTTTAATTCAGGAATTAAATAGCGAGGGGTTAAAATTTTCAGCGTGGTGGTATGTGTGTGAACTTTTCTTATTAATTTTTCCTAAATGCTGGGTAATTAGAAGCAGCAATCCATGGATTATGATCTATCATTCATGGCCATGGCCGACTGATAAACATTTGGGATAAAATTAAAATTTTATATTGTTTTTCTCGCGTCCTAAATTATCGACTTCATTTGCCACGTCATCACATTAAAAGATTTGCTGTTATGCACTTGAAACGGATTAAGATTTAAGAAACGAGAAACTAGCAAACCTCTTGTGATATGATATTATTACTCAAACAGCCATTAATCTTGCTGTAGGGCAGGGGTAGTTTAGGAAGTGCAATATTTAAGAATGTAGGGATGGATGCATACTAATTCCGTAGAAAGACCTCCTCCCTACGGGCTACGGAATACGGATATGGTGGGACCAGGGAAAAGACATCTACATGACGCCGTTGGACATGTCTTTTCATGGTCCACGGTCTACCACCCCAGTCCCAACCAAATAATGTCTGTAGCGCGTCGTTTGTTGGGATTGCAACTTTGCTCTTATTGCTTTCACTGAACAACGCGTCACGGATCCCAATTCCCACCTTGTCTATGGAGGAGCATGGAGCGAAACGAAGCACCCTCCAGAAAAATAGCAAAATTTTTTTTTAGATTCTTCTATTCCTATTCCAACAAAGAAAATTATAAAGAGCCCCCCTGTACTATGGGGTCTGTGATAAAGACCCTCTGTACTTTGTTTTGCGACAAAGACCCCCTTATAGTATGACTGTGAGATAAAGACCCCCTTTCGTTAGCTTTCCGATGAAATTTGTCATTGTAATATTTTTTAATCCCCATACTACTCTTGTAATAGAATTGGGAGAAAAACAATGTTCATCTTCCTCAATCTCACATTGTTTTGGGAGAAAAACAATGCAGATATAGACATCACTACTTCTCTCCCTCTCATCATGTAGATTGGTTTCCCATAATATCGAATTATTCGTCGAAGTGTTTTGGTTTCTCATACACCGTGGTAAAACGGCTAGATTTTTAGCATGAGAAATATTGGAAACCTGATAAAGTTTCAAAAGTATTTTACCTTCTTGTTTGGTGATTTTGTTGTTTTCGGGATATATATTTTTCTACAGTAGGCATAGGATTCCGATAGGTCTGACTTGATATCTAGGGCTGGAAGCTGGATCAGATTGTTGTGACTAGAGACAAGTGGTGCTAGTTTTCGATGTCCGCTTTTTTGGGTTTAAGTGGGACCTTATTAGCTTCTGTTGTTGCTGCTTCTTGTATTCCTCCGGTAAGCGTTTTGAGTTTAATAGAGATTTAAATAGTCATTGAAGCTCTAGTTTATGTTAGATTACTTGCCGGAGACATATAGGAATTGGTAGGTGGAGATATCAAAGTTTGTGACCGATAGATAAGACTTAAGAGCTGAAAAGAAACCCTAGGAGGCTAGGTTACCTATTGAAGTTCATTTTCTATTCTTCCGATTGAAGAAAAAAATGAAAAAAACATAGAATTCTAGATTCTACCGTAGTCTGTTTTTCTAAGAATCTTAGAATTTTGGGAAACATGCCTGTGGAATTGGAGAATTCGTCCGCCATTACTGTTTCTACAACTTCAGTAGAAGCTAGTGTGTCTTCGTCTAGCAACCAAGTAGCTCTATCGTCGATGACAACAAAGAAAAAGCGCAATCTTCCTAGAACCTCAGGTAAGATTAAAGATAAACATCTAATTAATATAAAAAATTGCATCCCTTTGCCATGCTTCTTTCCTTCATTCTATTTTTTATTTGGGTTGCAGATCCATAAGCAAAGGTGATTGCTCTGTCGCCAAAAACCCTAATGGCAACGAATAGATTCATGTGCGAGATCTGCAATAAAGGGTTCCAATGAGATCAAAACTTGCAACTTCACTACTGAGGACACAATCTTCCTTGGAAGCTTAGGCAGTGATTGAGCAAGGAAGTTTGTAAGCGAGTGTATGTCTGCCCCGAGCCTTCATGTGTTCATCACGATTCGTCAAGAGCTTTGGGCAATCTTATGGGAATAAAGAAACATTTATGTAGGAAGCATGGAGAGAAAAAATGGAAATGCGACAAGTGTTCGAAGAAATACGCCGTCCAGTCCGATTGGAAGGCGCATTCTAAGACATGTGGAACCAGAGAATACAAATGCGATTGCGGAACTTTGTTTTTTCTAGGTTTCTTTTCTCTTCCTTAATTCATCTCTTTACAATTTTAGGCTTTGATGGTGGTGTTGACATTGTTCCTATTGGGGAAGAGAGACTGAGAGAGAGCGGGAGAGACTGAGAGAGAGAGAGAGAGAGAGAGAGAGAGTGATGTCTGCATCTGCATTGTTGTGAGGTTGGGGAAGATGAACAATGTTTTTCTCCCAATTGTATTACAAGGGTAGTATGGGGATTAAAAAATATTACAATGGCCGATTTTAACAGAAAGCGAACGAAAGGGGGTCTTTGTCTTACGGTCATAGTACAGGGGGTCTTTGCCGCAAAACAAAGTACAGGGGGTATTTGTTACAGACCTCATACTATGGGGGGGGGTCTTTGTAATTTACCCAAAATATTTACATCTTTCCTACATAATAGTTTGTTACTTTGGTTCCGTTTGGTTCAGGTGTAAGATGGAGTTGGAATCCCCTAGATCGGAATCTGAATTGCCTACTCTCAATGTTGTTTGGTTTAGACACAATTCGGAATTAGATCCCAATCTTTTTCGTTTGGTTTATCTGAAGTGGAAATCGGAATAAACCGATTTTTCAATTTTGTATTAGCTTATTTATATTATGTTTTATTATATTACTAATTTTAATTTACTAGTACTTTGTTATTGTTTTATTAGTATTTAATAATCATCATCTTAGTAATTTATTATTATTTTATTAATATTTATGGTATATAATTATTATTTTATTAGCACACTATTATGAATCTTTTATTAATAATTTATTAGTTCATTAATAGATCGTTTGTATTTAATAATTAATGTCTTTGTATTTATTGTTAATTTATGAGTATTTTATTTATAAGTTTTATTTTTTATTACGTTATTAATATTTCATTATAGTATTATTATTTATTACTATCTACTAATATTTTTATTAATGATTTATTATTATTATTATTATTACTACTACTACTTTAATAAATCTTGTTATTATTCTTGACAAACACGAGAATGGGAATCCCATTTCCAAGGGGAAGCAGGAATGGCCCTTCCCCCATATGGGGGAATCCTGTTCTGCCAAGAATGGGAATCAAAATCCCAATCCGACCAAACAAATAATTGGAATTGGAATAAATCATTTCATTTCTGATTCCAAGCACCTATTCAAAGGAACCAAACATACCCTTTGTTCATAACATGTTATGCATTCTTAAGGTTTGACATTATTTTACACAGTTTTAATTATTTGCATGTTTTTACTAAGGTTTTTTGTGTATTAACTTTTGTTATTTGTTTGTTAAAGCTTTGTCTGAAGTATAAATTTATACGAATTTTGCACCTATTTTAGTTTCATATTTGTGTATTTGTAACTATAATTTGCACTTAGGCTCAGTTTGGAAAGAGTACAAATTCAAATATGTAGAGTACAAAACCTTATGCTTTGTATTATTTTATTTGTACTTGCATCGTATATATTTGCATTTGTACTCTTTCCAAACTAGAAGGAGCATAAATGCAAATATGTAGAGTGCAAAACCTTGTATTTTATATTGTTTTGTATGTATTTGTGTACATATTTGTATTTGTATTCCTTCCAAACTAAATCTAACTGATTACATCATTTTACTTTTTATTTTGCTTTTCACAAACAAATAAGACAAAGCCAAATCTAAAGCACAAATAAACCAGAATTTACATTTAGCCTATTTGCACTACAATTCATTTACACTGATGCAACCAAAAGCAGCCCAAAGTTCAGTTGCACTTCTATTTTTTATAATTTCATATTCCGTTGCTTAGATTATCCCATCCCAAGACAACATAACTTCTTAGTCCTATGTTATTTTTCTGTTCATGGTATATTACATTTTGTAACTACATAAGATTATTTTTAAATTTATTAGAAATATAGTAATGACATCCTTTTTTTTATAATTTCATTTTGAAGTTTGGACTACAATTTATGTTAACAATGGAATAAAATTAATTTTAATTGCAATAGATACGTATCCTTAGTTTTTAGTTAATATTGCAACTATGGAGAAAATGAACGGTGAATTTGTTTGTTTCTAGCCTATTTGTTTTATATGCAAGTTATTCAAAGAAAACTTAACTAAGGGGTGTGTGTGTGTATATATATATATTACTACTTTAAAAAGTACAAATAACCTCAAGAATATTTCTAAAATTTACCCATCTATATTTAAATTTTTTGATAAAAAATGAGGGTAAATAGGTAATTTAAAGATATTCAATGCATTCAATTCTCTTACATTAAATCCAACATTTAAGGTATTAATTTGCATCAATCTTCATTGAATCATATATTTAAGGCCATTTTGTTTCTTCTCATCATTAAATTCTATAATTAAATCTATACATAATAAATTAATAATTTCAATAACATAAAAACTTATACTTTGAAAATCTACCTAGAAAAAATAGTGTTTTCATCTAGGTGGTAGTAAGAAATTAAACCATTTAGGTCAAATGAGTCAATCCATGTTGTCACAATTAAATAATAAAATTCAAAAATATATAAAATGCAAAAAAATATAGAAATTAAAAAAATTTGGGAATATTTTTAGCATCACATATTTGACATATTAAACAATAATAAGTATGAAAAACAATATTTTCAAAACCAACCCGGAGGCCAACCCATTTTTGCCTTCAAGTCATAAGTCATCTATTCGACTATCAAGGTCAAACAAGTCAAACCGCTATCTGTCAACACTATCTGTGTGTGTGTAAAAATACATAGTTCATCAATAAATAATATAATTGTGTTTTA